GGTGAGAGAGGGAAGGGAGCTCAAGGGTGAGATCACAGGCAGAAAGGACAAAGAGAAGACACCAAAGAAAATTCCAGCTGCTGTACGATTTTCCTTAGAGCTATGCCAGGACTCATACTCTCCTTTGTAGATAAGCAGAAGAATGGGAGCATAAAGTCTCTTTTTGTGATATCTGCGCATTTGGAAGCCTCTTCAATTGTAACTTCACGCTGTGTTCTCACGGTCCTGAAAAACTCCAGGATGTTCCTTCTTTTTTATGTTCAGGGACACTATTAAATCCCCTGGACCCCAGGCCCCCTGACGGGCATCCTTTTAGTGTCTTACCTGAGTTGATGTAAAATGTGAGGTGCCCAACCATGGTGGCCTAGTGGTCAAGATTCAGCGTTCTCACGGCCGTGACCTAGGTTCCTTTCCCAGTCAGAGGACCACACCACCCGTCTGTTGGTTGTCATGTTGTGGCAGCTATGTGTTGCTGTGAGGCTGAAAGCTATGCTACCGCGACTTCAAATACCAGCAGGGTCACCCATGGTGGACAGGTTTCAGACTAGGAAGAATTTGTGGACCTGGCCACCCACTTCCAAAAATATCATCTATGAAAACCCTATCAATAGAAGCAGAGGATTGTCTGATAATAGCGCTGGAAGGTGAGAGGATGGCGCAAAAAGATGGGGCAGGGTTCTGCTCTGCTGTCCACAGTGTCACTAGGAGTTGAAATTGACTCAATGCACTAATAACAAAGATGAGAAATCTGTCTGTTCATTAAGTTTTCATCTAGTTCTTGCCTGAGGTTTGGGCAGGACACAAGTTTCCTTTTAGTTACCGAATTGTGACATAAAGAAGCGCTTACTGGAAATTCTTGTTCCTTGTATATTGGACATAAAGAGGTGTGTTTTCCTTAGCTGGTAGACAAGAGGCAGTTGTGATGATTTCCTTGAAAAACATTAACCCGAGTCCCCACCCACAGGTAGTCACTGGTGATTGTTTCTTTGGGAGGAAAGGAGGAGGAATAAAACAGAATCAGAGGGAGGCAAACAACAAGATGAACATCTGAGCTCTCTCCCGGAAGTGTGGGTGAGTAAGTGGGGCCTGGATCTGGAAAACTAGTAGTACAGGAAAGTCCATTCCTTCGCTCAGGGTATTATTACTCACCTGTTTCACCACTGCAAGCTCCTGAATGTGAGCATTAGATTAAACAAGGTGAAGAAGACCCACTCATGTGTATTTAGAATTCATTCTCTGTTCCTAAAATGGAAACTTGACTTTCCTGAGTTCCAGTCAGAAGAGGTTTGTGCACCTGATTTCCAAGGTTTCTTCCAGCTCTTCTCGCCTCCAGCTTTCTCTCCATTCCAATTTATCATACCCACGATAAAGATTTTTGGCTCATGGAAATCTTTGAGAAGCTCAGGAAAATTCTGGACCTTCTCCCCTGAAGTATGCTCATCCCTACAACATTTGCACACATTTCAGGGGGTTCATGAGCTCCTCTGAAGCTACTGTTGTAAACCCCTACCACCCTAATCTGAGAAAAAACCTTCAAAAACTCCCTATTGCCTGCCAAATATGTTCTTAAAACCTGTTGGCTGCCATTCAAAACTCCCCACACTATGAGTACTATCTATCCTTCCAAGAACGGCTCCCAAAATTCATTCATTTAGCTTACATACATTTGAACACTTATCCCTTATAAAACATTAAAATTATACATTTTATGTATATGTTTATATTTATGTATATATGCAAATATATACATATTAAAATATAAATATTATACTATAGAAATAATATATTCATGTATTAAATAATATAATATATAAAGCATAAAATATTATATTAGAAACAGAGGGGTATCAAAGATGTATAATATACAGGGCTTGCTGTTAAAGACTTTACAATCTAGAAAGAAAGATAAGATAGGTAAATAAATTATAAAAGTTAAAAAGTAGCCATGGCTGTGGCAGATACTGTTGCTTGCCTACTCAACAGCCATTTTCTCTTTATTTCTTGCTGTCAGAGCAAAGATTTTGTTCCATCGTTTATCCCCAATGGAACTGATTTTATTCAGCACTTTAAAAGGTACACAAGTGAGAGAGGATAACTTTTTTCTACTATAGACGTCAGTGTGTGAACAGTGAAACATGATGTCTGGAACTCCAGCAGCCATGTTGTGACTGAGGGGAGTTTTAGCTAGTGGAAGACCCACTGAAAGCGACAGATCAGAAAGAAGGAAGGAACCTGAATCCTTGATGGAATGGTGGAAATGACTTGACCAACCAGGGAACCAGTTGTCCTCCAGACTTCTTGTTAGTGAAATAATATATCCCTTTATAATTTAATATATTCTGAGTTGTGTTTTCTGGTACTTGAGTTGAAAGCATTCTCATGGATATAATTGCCTTAAGACAGGCATGGATAATGGGCTTTAGGAATCAGAGCGGGAATAGACAAGTGAATGAATCAGGTGTTTAACTCTGACTATGTATGGATATATATGGATGGATATGGATATGGATATATATATATATGATGCTTATATAAATATATATATTTCTTTCTTTGCTATCTTGAGGCAACGTGGCATAGTATGAAAGATCTGGGACTTTGGAGTCATTCAGCCTCTGCTACTCCCAGCAGTGATACTTTGGGAAGGCTATTTAATTTATATGAGCCTCAGCATCCTCATCTATAAAATAACACGATACTCCCTTCCTCACATGGTCTTGTGAGGGTTAAATGAGATGATATACACAAAGTGCTTGGCACAGAGCCTGACGCATGATACACTTTCAGCATATGATATCTATCAATATTATTTCTTTTATGAAAATAAAAAATTTTTCTTGAGTAGCTCCTGCATGCTGGGCACTTTCATAGGCATTGATTACAACAGGAAAAGAAATCCAACATGATCCCTGCTCCCCCGGAGCTTATGATCTGACTAATGGTGACACCAATAAAGGTATAATTATAAACTGAGGTGTGTGCTCTGAAGTGAAGGCCACAGAGCCATGAAATCATGTGAGAGGTGAACCTGACTTTGCCTTGGGTTAAGGAAGGGTTCACTGGGAAAGTGGGGTTTGAGTTTGGGGTTGGGGTCATCGTTCTAGCTTTACAGAAGCAAATACATTTAGTTACTTGTTCCTGGACTGTAAGCTTCTTAAAGTCAGGAATTAAATTCAGATAATCATATATTCATTTATTTATATTGTTTGTGTCCAGCGCAGTGACCAGGCTCATCACAGAGAATCATAAATATTTGTGGACTGAATGAATGAACCACTATGACTTTCACTCTCCTTGTCGGAAAAATGGGTATAAAATGTCTACTTCTAGGAGATGAGGACTATAAAGCACTTGAACACATAGTAAGGGCTCAATAATTGGTAGCTTTTATTATTATTACTATTATTATTGCTTTATAATTTACATGCATTAACTCTTTTACTATATTATAAGCTCCAGGGTGGTGAGAAATGAGTCTTATCTATCTTTGATTATTCCAGTGTTCTCAACACAGTGTCTTGCATAGAATAAATTCTCTGTAAAAATTCAGAGAACACATGACATTCTCAATTAGGAATTAAATTGACATGTTAAAGAGACTATGTACATTGAAAAAATAAGTTAGCAAAGCTAAGTTAATCACTCTCTGTAGGGAATACTTACTGCCAAATTTCTAGAATAAAGATAAAATATATAGAAAAAAGACCTCTAAAAACTGTTGTAAAAAGAAGCCAGAATCCTGTGTGGAGAAGAAAAGAACTTAGAACAATTCATATCGAATGCCATGCATGTAATTAAAAACTCACAGCTTTAATGTCCCCCTTTCAGAGACTACCCAATCTAGGGTAACTAGTCTCGAACACTCTTCTCTACTTTAATTCTTTGCATACCACGTATAGACACCTGGTATTTTTGCTTTTCAGCTGATCGATTTTCAAGTTGCTTGACTCTCCCCACTAGAATGTAAGTTCTCTAGGACCAGGGATCTTGTCTGACTAGTTTCCTTGCCATAGTCACAGCACCTAGAGCTGTATTTTGCACATAGTTGGTGGACAAATGTATACCTGTTGAATAAAGGAACACGTACGCAAAAGTAATACTCTGTATTATTGACGGATGTGCATGTACCTTTGCAAAAATCTAAAAGAGTATTGGAAGAATAAACAAGAATCTTTGGGGGTAGGGTGGGTAGTGAAGGGTCGGGGCTTGGGGGATGGGACTCAGCATGGTGGTTAGAGGGGACATTACTTATGTGTGAAATGGTGATTTCCTTTAAAAAAAATAGATGAAAAGCACAAGATGACAAAATGTTAAATATTTTGATGATGAGAATTTAAGTGTCTGTTATATTATTCTTTGCACTTTTCTGTGTCTTTTAAATTTCTCAAAACAAAGAAAAAAAAGAAATTCTGAATGGACAAGAGTGAATTAACCCCTTGCAGTTTTACAAGACCTAAAGCTCTCCAATGTACTGTTACCTACACTTGATCATCACAATAATTTTGATGTAATTATTATCTACTTTATTTTATGCAGAAGGAAAATGAGACCAAGACCGATGAGGCGGCTGCCGTGACCACCTCTAAAGTCAGGGCATGCTTGACTGAACTTGACCTGGTGATGATCTCTCTTTCAAGAGATAACATCAGGGCCAGCCTGGTAGCGCAGCAGTTAAGTGCACACGTTCTGCTTCGGCTGCCCAGGGTACGCTGGTTCGGATCCTGGGTGCGGACATGGCACCACTTGGCAAGCTATGCTGTAGTAGGCATCCCACGTATAAAGTAGAGGAAGATGGGCACGGATGTTAGCTCAGGGCCAGCCTTCCTCAGCAAAAAGAGGAGGATTGGCAGCAGTTAGCTTAGGGCTAATCTTCCACAAAACAAACAAAAAGAGAGATAACGTCAATGTCCTTCAAATCTGAGCACTAGATAAGAAGTAAAAAGAAAACAGCTTTGAAGCCTATAGGCAAGAGACCCAGAAGAGTTAAATCTAAATGGATGGACAATGAATGAGCAAATATTTTAATACAAAGAAAAAATACACTCCAAATGACCTTAGGTAAATTGCTTAAACTTTTTAAAGCTTATTTTCTTCACCTATAAAATAGAGTATTTACCTACCTCATGTGTATTTCAAAGGGATTGTATAATTTATGCATTTATGTAGTACATAAATTGTACAATTTGTATAAAAGACACGGCACAGTATCTGGCACTTAATAGATTGGATACTTTTGTGTTTCCTCTTGGTTTCTTATGCTCCCATGTATTATGTTGAACCACTGAAAATTTCTTTTTTTGTGAGTAAAATTGATTGACTATGGACAATTTTGTGAGGTTCATGCTATCACTCTATGAATGTAAGCTCTGATTCTGCTGTCAGCTATCTCATCTCAAATTCACATGTGTGAAAAGGGCAGACCAGAGTTTGAATAAAACTGGTAATTATTTGGGGCTTGGGCTTGCAAGTCCATTTGCAGGATAGATAAAAGCGATTTGCAAGCGTGGAATGAAGAAAAGGATAGTCCAATTGGCAGAGACAGGTTTACATAATCAGGGTTAAGCAATTGCAAACTAGACAGCTGCTCAATAGCTTTTGGCACCAAAATATATTGACCAGCTGGGATATCATTAATACCTAACAGTTTTATCCTTATGACCATATTTTGGCCAATGAGGTTGTCTTTGACCACCAAAGGGTATAATATATTCTGAAGTAAATGCCACGTGTGTATCTGTGTATCACATATTCTATTACATTGATGTGTGATAGAACATACACTAAATATAAATGCATTCGCTTCTTTGGAACACCAGGTTAGATGGTGTGATTAAAGAGGAATAGAATTTAAAAATATTGATGTCTTTTTTTAAAAAAAATAATCATTATTCTGGGAAATGCTTTTTTTGTGTATACTGAAAGTAAAGAGATCCAAATAAAATAATTTTTAAAGACGAATTTTTAAAGAATGATTATAGAAAAAGAAATATGGCTAGGGAAAACCAGTTCTGCACAATGTATGCATACAAATGAGTACAGACAGGAGAAATGTAATCACGGAAAGATAGTGATTAAATGACCTTAACAGAAAGCTGTTTGAAGTGTCAGAAGAAACACTTGGGCCATTGTCATTAGCCTCTGAAGCCATTTCAGAAATGCTACTAGCTAGGTGACCTCCACATAGTGCCTTTCAATTATGAGACAGACAAAATAAATAAGGAAAAAATATAAGACAATTGAATGCCATGACATTTCCCAGAATGTTTCATACACTAAAATTTAATACATTAACGTATTCAGAATATCTTCAGGACTCACAATTGCAGCATTTGAAGAATAAAATTTGTAATACCAGGTTTTTACATAGTAGTAAAAAACGGTCCTCCAAACGCAGAACCCATACTTGCTACCTAATCCAAAATGCGTGTGGATAAAGGATTTCACTGTAAATTGTTTCAATGTTAAATCCTTTGCATTTTATTTAATTTGACATCTACTGGCATTCCTTGGTCACTTTTGTTAGCATCTCTGGTTGACCTTTAACCCAGGAAAGGATCATGGCCTTTTCCTTGACCATAATACAGGTACTTTTTTAGCCACAGATGATTGTTCCTGGTCCCTCTGTAAACCACTAAAAGTAACGTCAATGTTCCTTCTTCAAAGCCGAAGACCCAACATTATGAACTTTATACGAAGAGTATCAAAAGTAAGGAGGTAACCAAACAACTTACTCCTTACATCTATGAAGCTACTGCCTGACATGCAAAGGCAGCTACAAGTATGAGGAATCCTTTCTAAGAATACGCCCCCTGTCCTTTTTTCCTGATGCTTTGACAAGCTATTAAAAAAAGCCCAATCTTATGGCCTAGTTTATTTCTTTTGCTTCTTCAGATGGCTTTTACCAAAACTTGGAGACAATAGATCATGGAATATTAGTAGTGGAAAGGACTTTAGCAATCAACTAGTTCAAGTCCCTCATTTATAGGAGAAAAAGTTTAGGTGGAGAAAACTTTTCTACTTGTTAACTTGTTAGCATCCTATGGCCAGTTAGTGGCAGAGCCAAGACTAGATCCCAAATGTGTACTGATAATTGGATGAATACCATTTCCTCTAAATTGTTCTATCTTACTACTTTTTAAATCACCTTCCCTTAAAATATTATGGACCCACTAAATGTTTCCATACTGAATAATCAGCAACTTTGCCATTGTGGTTTTGCTTTTCAAAAGTAACAGTGGGATAGCTTTTTAAGTTGAAAATCCTGGGATAAAGGGATCCTGGGCATGAAATTCTGCCCGGGAGCCTGCCTGTAGGAGGTATCCATGCTCGTGCTCCATCTTCACCTTGCACTGGCACTCCTCCACCAGCATCACCACCTTGACCACGGGGGCAAGGCCAGTGCAGTTCAGCTGCAAGTGCATCGTGGTGAACTTGGCAGGCAAGCAGTGGAAGCAGAAGGTATGGGGGTGCTGCGCAGCTCCAGGAGAATGAACAGACGCACACTTCCCAAAGCAAAGGTTGTTCTGTACAACTACTTTCTCACAGTCTTCATGGCTGATAGTCTAAAAGGCAAGCACATCTCCATTAAATTATCTTGAGTCATTTCATTAACACATATGATGCAAAAGCTATAGACTGTAAGTCTGAGGATAATTTAGACTAAAATTTCAAAACCTTTTCAATTTTGGATATTTTGCAATATCTAAGTAATGGTATCTACAGGGGCACAGAGTGACCAGAAATCTTATCTAGTTGGATGTTACCAGATGAAAAAATTCGAATGGCTAGCTTCTTATATAAGTAATGTGCCATATCTTTGTATTCCTTACAGATCATTGTGCATAATAGATTCTCAATACGTGTTTGTTCAGTTGCTCAGAGAATAGATCAGAACATCAAGAGTTTAATTCTATCCTACGTCTCAGGGCCTATCATACATTCAGATTTAGGAAGCTGCATGAAACAAGGTTGCAACACATATGCCTGCGGATCCTTATGCATTATATCACTTTTGCCTCTCCCATAACCCTATACACCTAGCTCCAAGTGCACTTCAAAATATATGAGTCAAACACCTTACATTTAATTTAATTAGCAATAGAATTCAAAATAAGAGTTTCAAAGGAAATTTGATTGCATGATTCTTAGGAGCAATTTTCTAATTGCATACGGCCAACAAAGCAGTCATTCTTGTTTGATATTTGACTCGTCATTGTTACACATCCTTGCCTTTTCAGGCAGAATACTTAACTGCCCTGCACAGTCAATTACTTTATAATACTGCCTGCTTAATTGGGCAGCCTTATTGGACTGTAAAATTTTACTCTACCCTGTGTTGCTTTTGGTTGAGTATCTTCATGTTTAAGGGCCTGATGCAATTTCTCAATTTTAATTTAAGATTTGGAATGTGGGGGTTGCCAGGACTGACTGGGGGAAGCAGATATGGAGTGCCCCTTCGTGTTAACAGTGTAGGATCAATCACAATAACCACAAATCAGCCAGTGCGACATGAGTTAGGAGACAGGCATTTCTAACGAGAGGAAAGGTGATTTTGCACTGAGATTATTTTTTGGAAGTTTATGAGAAAGTAAGTTGAATCAAATCACTTTTGCTGTTGTAATACTAGAAATGATATGGCAACTTCTGCCTGACAATGTCAACATATTTGATAGAACTTTGAAGTAGTTAGGAATGAAATACAGGGGTTAAGACCACCATGCAGTTGTACGGGAGTGTTTGGGGAGGGGTCCAATTATTCCAACTTCTCTACAGATGGAGTCGACTTACTCATCCTTATCCTAGTAAAGTGTAGAGATAGAGCTAAAGAGAAGTTCTGGCAATTGCTGTAAATTCCCAGTTTCCTCAATGAAGGTACAGTCTTACTCATCTCTCTGGATAGACCACCCCTAACATAAAAATAAGTCAAGAAATCCCCATAAAACCAAGCTCTGTGTCATAAATATGAATGATTACAATATTGGCGGTACCATCATACTATTTTTGCAGCATTTCCACAATACCAAGAGTCAATGGAAAGTTTAGAAGGCAATTTGGTATGTTTTGCCAAATCCTATGATGAGTGCCAGAGGACCAAATCTGAGAGTTAGGCTTCTGGCAGCTTCTTCTCCTACTCTCCACCTACCTCAGCTCTCCATCCCCTTCCTGCAAACCCTGGTTCCCTCTCCCCCAAGAACACATACCTGGCTGAAGGGCACTGTTCTACAGGTCTCCTGATGCACTTCATGGCTTTTGATGGGCAAGATGATCCCCTGAGAAGCCGGACTCATTCTGAACATGAAGTGGTGCCAGAATTTTTTGGCTTCTTCCCGAAGAGGAGATTTCTTCACTTGCATCCCATCCTTTGGCTGAGTGGGGGCATGCAGCCCAGGTGGGAAGTTCTCACTGATCAAGTCATGAGGTGGGTGCACTTCTTTCTCAGGTTTCTTCCAGAACCTTCCAAACCTGGAGAGCATCTTCTCTCTCTGCCTCTGGCCTTCCCCTGCAGTGCTGGCACCTATCAGGTGTGGCACTGCAACAAACAGATCTGGCTTTTCCTCTGCTTCCTCGTGGTTGCCCACGGGGAGCTCTCTGCGATTCCTTTCTAGGAGCACGAGAGAAGCAGACCTCGGACTCTGGCGGCCAGCCCAGTGCCTTGCAGCCTTCCCTAGAGGCAGGAGCACCAGCAGCTGAAGTAAGAGGAGATGCATGCTGTCGGGGGCCCACACTTCTTTGAGATTCACAGATGGCAAGGCGCAAAAAGGAGGCTCACTCTCTGCAGGACTATGAACAAGGAGATCCTATATATAGATACCTGCCTTGTGGGATGGGAAGGCAGGTGGTCAGTAGCCAGGCAGGGTAAACACATTTATTGTTTGCTTGGATTATGTAGTGCTAATGGTGTCCTGCCTTCACTTTGGTTTTGTGTATTTTAGAAGGCCCCAGTGAAAGCCTGGGACCCAGGGGGTAATTAGCTGACACTTTATTGTCTGAGACTGAAAGAGCAGTATTAGCAAAAACAACACATTCTTTGCCGGGATTTCCCATCACTGCTCTTAGAAGAAGGACCAGAGTCAGCTAACATTTGCGGTGCATCTGCTTTGTGCTGGGATAGAATAGATGAGATGTGTTTTTATGAGAGAAGTGTGTCAGACAAAACTAGAGGCATATATTTAGCAAAATCCCAGGTCTTTAGGCTCTTCTCACACACACTCACACACACACACACACAAACACACTCACAGGAGTGGTCAAAGAAGTATATCAAAATTGTGTGGAAGGGAAAGGAAGAAATAGAAGGATGTTAACTTTGGTGAGCAGAGGACTCTCCATTTACTTAGATGTGGTTGGGGTTGTAGATTTTTGTATTGTAACAGAGTAAAGGGAATATATCCTCCTTCTCCACACATGGAAACTCACAATTCGCAAGTTAATCCCCTCACCTTAAGAATCAAATACTTGGTGCTAAATTTCACAACTGGTGGGTCATCAGATAAACTCTTTCAATTGTTCACAAATTTCTCAACAGGATCCTAAGTAATAGTCAGCTCATCAGTCTTCAGTGAGGATGGGGAACTGTCTCCCTCAAGCCGCCCTATTGATTTTTTTCCTTTCTCTAAACAAAGAGCCAGACTTGAGAACGTGGATTCTAAGAACCAGATTTGATAGCTCTGGGCATGAAGCTGGCTGGTCAATTCTTTACCTCAGAGAATCCACACCATCTTTTTTATTCTGTAGCAACTGATGACGAGGTTAAATAAAGATGGAGACAAACATATTTCTTCAGGATCAAAGGAAAACTTGTTAGGTGACTCTCATTCAAAAATGTTATAAATTGATGTGGATCAAGGCAGCCCCAGGGAGAGAAGCCCAAGGCGTCTGGCTTACATGCTGATCTGTATCATCCTCTGGGAAGCACAGGACATCCTGACTTGATTCGTATCTAAAGTTGTAAGACCACACAATAACCAGACCCCACCTGCACTGATACCATTTTAATGACTTTTGCACGTGATCTTTCCTTTGTCTAGTAAAAATAAGTCACATACTCATGCCTTATAAATTTAGCCCTAACCCTCAACACATTGCAGCTCTTCACTGCCCGTGGGTCCTGCCCCCATGCTATTCTCTGAATAAAGGAGCGCTACTACCAGACCTTGAGAGTTCAAGAAATCTTTCTTTCGACTCCTCAGCTCACCGAGCCCACGTCATAAATCAGGCAAGGATATGAGAAAGAAACACATCTAAGGGCCAGCCCAGTGGTGCAGTGGTTAAGTTGGCACGTTCTGCTTCAATGGCCTGGGATTTGCAGGTTCAGATCCTGGGTGCAGATCTATGCACTACCTGTCAAGCCATGCTGTGGCAGGCATCCCACATAAAATAGAGGTAGATGGGCATGCATGTTAGCTCAGGGCCAGTCTTCCTCAGCAAAAAAAAAAGAAAGAAAAAAAGAAAGAAACACATTAGAAAACTGAAACTCCAGAATTGAGACCAATCGACTTTCCACACCATTTGAACAGTATTTTCATTGGGAATCGATCCAATACTTGCTTATATTTCTCCTCTTTCAACTTAATCACCCTATTCCTTGCTTTCAGTAACATACATAATCCTGGAACATGTCCTCTTTTTTTTTTCAGTACTGATTAAGCTTTCTTCCCAAGAAGAGACCCATTAGAATCTTTTTTCCAGACACTTGTGTTCTTTTTAATCGTCATGTCTGATTTCTGTGAGATAAAACCTCAAGTGAGTTCCTTTACCTACAATAATGCACTATTTTATAATGCACCACTTTTTCAGAATTCTATCAAAAGAGATATATTTTACTTGAACCAAATAGCCATAGAACCTGTGCTACTATTAATGACGGTAGAGCTGATTCATACTAAATGAGCATTACTATTTTCCATATTGTTTTAATTGCCTGCTGTTGGAATTTCTTAATTCCCCTCGGCCACCCAAGGCAATAGGCTTTCCAGAGCTGACCACTCTGCCCCTTGATTATAAATATAGTATGGACCCAGCTCTGATATATTTCCTGATCCTTTTTAAACTCCACATTTAGTGCCTGAAGTTCCATTGCCATGGATGAGAGTATCTAGCATTTCCCCAAAGGGAAGACTATTCCAAGGATTCCAGGCGGGGTCTCAGGTTGCTCGTCTCTGAACATAGGATGCAATTCAAATAATTTCTGTTGAATTAAAATTTGTAGCAGACTCACTTTGGAGGCCATGCTAGATCTAGAAGATGATAGAAAATGATACGAACTTGGCTCCTGCCCTCAAGCAGGTTGCATCGTCTAGTGGAATCATACATTTCATAACTTTATTATATTAGCTGTAGGGATGTCACTTATTCATTTGTAACTTTTTTTTAGTCCTAAACTCCTCTTCTTCTGATCCTAATTTTGCTGTTTATAAATGTCATTTAAAAACTACTCGTGGAGAATTTCCTTTTGCTGTTCTGTCATTCCTGTTGAGAAAATGTGCAAATATCTTGAAGGGTAAATATAGCAAAATAAAGCCTTCTGTGATGAGAACTATGGTCCCTAAGTATGGCTTTTACAGCTAAGGGCAGATGACGTTCGCCTTTCACCACTGTGTCCTTTCATCAAGCCTAAAGCTATGTATATGATACGCTCTATTTACTTTTAAGAACATAGACAAACATTTTGGAGCTTTCAGCAAAAGCATGCTGCCTCTTGGGTCTCTGGTGATACAGGCATCTAGTTACCTCTCAGTGTGAATGAAGCCAAATGGAGCTGGGTGTGGAGAGGGCCTCCAGTCACAGCAGGAAGCCTGTGTATGGAGAGAGCCCCACAAATTGTTGGTGTCCTTAGTACCAAATGCCACAGTGAAAGGCAGGCCTGAGCCTACATGACCCCAAGCCTGCTAAGTCCACTTCCTGGGACAACGTCAGGCCTTTGTGAGAGCCAGAGGGGCCAATCTCATAATTCATTCCAATTTACAATTCAGTCTCAGCACGACCTGAACTCTCTGATTTCAACCTGACCTGGTTTTCCTAGGCACTAAGATGTCCTCAGGACCAGATAGAGCTCCCAGTGTGCTGTGAGAGGACAGTAACAGCTACGTCTTCTGTCCCTCTTATGAATCTCAGAAGGGAGCCAAAGAGCGGTCTCGTGTGCTCTGAGGGAAAACAGAGAGGCTAAGATCTTTCCTGAAAACCCTGGATCTAAACCCACAAAAGGTGAGAGGCAGTGTTGGGGTAGGAGGTGGGCACTGGAGTTAAACTTAAAGACAGAAAAGGGAGTGGGTTGATAAATTTGTGGAAGGAATCTGTTTAGGGCACATCCATTGCCTCACAACTACCTCTCTCTTCAAAATATGGAATAGCAATAGTGTTATGGGAGTTTAGATTATTTAAAACAAGCAAACAAACAAAACAAGGCAGAATCGTTCTTTTCTTTTCCAAAGGACAGGAAAGAGGGCAAGTTAGGGTAAGTGGTTTCCACCTAAACCTTTTAACATGATTCAGTTTGGTAAATTATTCAAAGTGTAGAACTCTCCCCCCACTGCACTCCCCTCCCTGCCACTTTCTGTGGAAAGAGCACATGAGGAAGGACCTCACTCCCCAAAGCTGCTCACTTATTGGACTCATTGATGCATTCATCCACACAGCATGTATTTGAGTGCCAACTCTGTGCTAGGTCCTGGGAGTAAAATGGTGAGGGTCCAGGCCCAGTGGAGTTTGCAGTCTGTAAGGAGAGTCTGGTTTATTCAACATAAGTTACACAAAGAAAACCTAGGCAGCACCATTCCTGTACTAATCAGAGACTTTCCAGTAGATCCAAATCCCAAAGGCACTGTGCACTGCCACATTGTGTTTCTGCTAATTTTATTCAATAAATATTTGTTGAGTGCAAGGAAGTGCAATAGATGTGTGATAATTTTCTTTTATTTTTGATTAGGTAATAAATATAGGTAAGAACAAAATTCAAATAACACAAAAAGTTGTGCAATGAAAGACAAATCTTCCTCTTACCTCCCAGTCCTCCTGTCCTGCCATGGAGGCAATCGCTGGAATCAACTTCTTTGTGGTCAATCTTTTTAAGTTGTCACCTGTTGTGGGCCAAATTGTGCCCCCCAAAATCCGTATGTTGAAGTCTTAATCCTCGGTACCTCGGAATGTGACTGTATTTGAAGATAGGGCCTTTAAAGAGGTAATTAAGTTAAAATGAGGCCGTTAGGGTAGGTCCTAATCCAAGAAAACCGATGTCTTCACAAGAAAAGGAGATTAAGACAAAGACACACACAGAGGAAACACGGTGTGAAGACACAAGGAGAAGACAGCAGTCTACAAGCCAAGGAAAGAGCCCTCAGAAGGAAACAATCTTACCAACGTCTTGATCTTGGACTTCCAGCCTCCAGGACTGTGAGAAAATAAATTTCTATTGTTTAAGCCCCCCTGTCTGTGGTCCTTTGTTATGGCGGCCCAACAGACCAATTCATCCCTTGAAGAGAACAAAATGTGTAGCCAATAGAGAAGGACAAAGATTAAATGGCATAGCATGCCACAAAAATTCCCCATTTCCGCTTTTAGGCACTGATCCCTGAATTCCCTTTTAAGGTCAGATTATTCTGTTCACAGTGTCAGTGTTCTCATTGTTCTCTGTCCGAAACACTCCCACACTATGGAGAAGCATTTTATTTTTTGCAACTGAGGATGTGTCTATTACAGTGTACAAGTCACGGATAATACCTAAATGTGACTAATGAACTTCTTATCAAGATTGCAGAGGGGGCTCCTGCCAATCTGAGAAGTAGGCCAAGGCGGCTGAGGTGACTTCTCCATGTGCCCTGCCATCCATCCATCCCCCACTGCCCACAGCCTCTATGTATGGCCAGCCCAGGATGCCTTCACTGGTGCTAAACCTGTGTCGTGCTTCTTCTTTTCCATCCTTAAAGTTTACCTTGATCATTTTTCATTCTGCAGAAAGCTGCTCTCAGAGAGAGTAATGTAACTGGAAGTAACTCTGGACTTGAAGCCAGAAAAACTTTATCCGATTCCTGGCTCTGCCTTACAGCTTGTAAAATACATGATCTCAGGTATTTAACTTCACGTCCATAAGCCTTGCCAGGGACAATACCAGCTGCCCTGTCTTCCTTACCTGGCTCATTGCCTTTTTTGTTTTTACTCCTCATCCTATTACCCTGGGTGACTTCAGCGTCCACATGGATGCGTCTGACCAATAACATGCCATCAGTATTACATGATGTCCCATTCAAACCCCTGATAGAAATCTGATGACCCCGCTCCAACTGGTCTCCCCATCCCCATCACATTCTGACCCCTGTTATTACCAGGAATTGCTCCACCTCTAAACTGTGAATTTCACATTCTACTCTCTTGTGACATGCTGTTCTATCAGTTCTCTCACTCAGTTGTGCCTACAGCATCTGTTTTCCGCTTTATCCTTGCAATAGCACTACCACAATTGTCGTTAAATAATTATCTGTGTCAACATTTGTTTAACATCTGTCTCCACTTTAGATTTTAAAGTCCCTGAAAGTAGGGGCTATGTCTTTCTTAGTCACCATCTCAGGCTCTGGAACAGTTTTTTCCATGTAGTAGATGCTCAAAAATATTGTTTAAAAATAAAGGAATGTATGAGTGAATATTTAGAATTGTCTGGTCTTCACTTCCTTCCCTATCTGGCTTGGATTCATGGCCCATCACTTAAAACTTTTGCAGGATTGCCAACTCCCTTGCTCTTTTTTCCTTTTCTTGCACCCATTTAGTAAAATTTCACCCCTGGAAATACCCAGCTGTTCACTTTCCCTTGGCCACACCTGGGCTGTGGAATGCAGAGATGATGACAAAATGGCAAAAACTGAGTCTATACAAATTAACTATCTCCCATCTTAACAGAACCCTCAATTCTGCCCAACAATCTTTCTGATTACTCTAGTCAACTCTCTCTTCATTTTCCATATAGATTATTTAAAAATCTTCTCTGATTATTTCAAACCTTTGTTCTGCCTCTTTCCTCATTTTCAATAAAT